AGCTAATGGTCAGAGTTGGTCAGAGAGAGCCAGGAATTGCTTAGCRTCACAACTGAGAGGAGTTTGGGGCGGGCAGCACTGGGGTCCAGTGGAGGATCCCCCGGGTCGCTAGGCTTGGAGCATAAGCAAGCCCAGGGCAGTAGAAACTCGTCAAGGAGAGGGTGCTGCTGTTAGGCCCTGAGCTTGACCAGAAAGCCACAGAGAAAGTGGACACTCAGTGCCCCCCTGCCCTGGGCCTTGTGAGCACCTCCAACATGGCCTGTGGTGGAGGCTGCATCGGTTGGTTCTGGGGGCCTTTCCCAGAGTCTTCAGAACTTGCCCAGTTCTCATTCAGGGTACCTGGGAAGAAGGGAACACCTCAAGGGCCACCCTGGATGATGGGAGTGGAGTCCCAGTCTTCCTGTCCTGCAAGGGCATGGCTATGTGGCTTGTCAAGACAGCTGACCAGAGAACCCAGCCTAGCAATACCTCTTACAATTCTCTAGTTGTCCTTTGGGAGTGGCTCCCAGATCCTTTATGGGACCTTAGCTTTGAGGCAAGCCCACACCAAGCCACTCCCAGACTGACAGCATACCCGCTGGCAGRGGGGAGAGAGGGGCCTGCTTCTCAATTGTGACAGGAGGGCCCTAGGGTGACCATCAGGTTGAGACCTAGTCCTAAGCCCCCATTCTTTCCATATAGAACTTTCTCCTGGAGGAAAGTTCATGCTGGCGCCAGTGTGAGCAGGTCTGGGGTTCTGTAGTTCCCTCCTGAGCTGCTGCACCAAGAGCTTACATAATTCATCGCCAAGCATAGTGTGGCTGGTGGTCACCAAAAAAAGTCTATTCTTACCACTCCTGTTCCTTCTCAGGGCTCTTTTCTAATCCCTTTTCCAAAATATTTTGGAGGGTGAAACTGGGAACTAAGCCCAGGTGCACTTTACCACTGAGCTACCTCCTTTTTTCTGCTTTTTTTTTTTTTTTTTTTTTTTTTGAGACAAGGTCTCACTCCCTTGTCTCTTGGGATTACAGGCATGTGCCACCTGCTTGGCTTTCCAAAAGGAAATTGATTCAGAATAAAAAATGGATGTTATAAGTGGGATTTTAGGCCCATACAACTACTTTGATAGTATTTTTTAAATTTTAGTTTCTATTTGTTCATTATAAGTACATAAAAAGGCAATAATGAATTGTCTTGTARCCATGCTAAGTTCACTTGTGATGAACTTGGTAGGTTGTGTAGGGTTTTGTGCATTCACAGCCTCCTCATCTGGAATCCACATGCTTATGTAGACCTTAGAACATTCCCATCTCAGTGCAGACTGTGGCCTGTGAAGCCCTGCAGTGCTGAGGAATCTAAACCTGCTGAGGCAGTTTGTCCCATTGCTGAACAGCTCTCRTCAGAAACCTTAATTCCTATTCAGGCCGAGTCTCCTTTGCTTGCTGTGTGACAGCAATCCACAGTCCCCTGTGGGTCCACTGTTCTCTTGGCAGCCCCCCACCCCCACCCCAGGAACCCTCTCTGAGTGCTCTGTGCAGGACTCAGAATGAGAAGAKAATCTTGTGAAGTGACCTGACCAGAGTTGTTTCTGGCACACTTGTCATTTGGTCAAGAGTGACAAGCTGAGAGGAGCCTGAGCTGGGGACCATCAGAAGTGCTTCTCTGGGCCCAGGCTCCACTCAGTGGTAGAGCACCTGCCTGGCCCACGGAGGCCCCAGGCTCCATCCCCAGCACCAGCACCACGAAATAAGAAGTGTTTCTGTGAGAGGTCCTAAACATGTCAGTTTACACATTTGTTGTGACTGAAAGATAAACAGACAAACCATGGGACAAATGTATGTCACTGATTTTTTTTTTTTAATGATTTTGTGCTATGGTTTGACCACAGCATTAAGAACAAGCAGAAAAACCTGATTTCAAAAATGACACACAGCACTTCGCAGAAGAGCATCTTTTTTTAAGAGCCTTGCTATTACAGACCTTGGGCTTAAGGACTAATCCCCAGTGTTCAGGTGAAGGAGGTGGATACAGGAGAGTCAGGGATCTCTCTGCACCTGGGAGGTATGTTGAAAATCAAGCACAAATGGTTGTTTTAAAAAAGGACTTTAATGACTTCTGATTATCATAGCTCACAAAGATTGAAAAGTTCAAATACAGCTGTACTTTTTTAGTAGATTGCTTTGTTATAAAAATTAAATGAACTAAATGCTGTGAATAATATTATATATTTTTAAACAGCTTTAAACTAGACAAGAATACAATGACAATGTGAATTTTGAAAGCCATGAAAATAACACAGTGATACAACAACAAGCATGTTAAATGGAACCAGTATCATGGACTAGAAGGTCTCGGCCTCAGTTGGGTCTGCAGAAAGAAAGCAATGCTGTGGCTGCACAAGTTGGTACCTCTACAGACGTGTCCAGAACATTCTCACATGCGCCAGACCCAGGGTGGCAGCTTCGTTTCTGAATCTCGATGCTGGTCCCAGTGTGCCCTGCAGGTGCCAGTGGTACTGCCTCCTGGGACCCAACACAGATGGGCACTTGTTCATGGCGCTTTCAGAATGTGCTAAAGGAAGGCCAACCTAATCCTAATCCCCCAGCATTTGAGATTTGCATTGTAGAGGTGTTTGGATTAAGGATAACCAGTAGTGACATTTTCTGGAAGGTAGAAGGATGATTGTATTGTGACTTTCAAAACTAACATCAAAGCAAATTAAAAATATGGACTCTATTAGACTATTCCAGTGACAGAATAGACTGGGATCATGAACCAGATGGGCAGAACTGTGTGAAGTGCCCTGCTGGACAACACTTGATGCCCACACCAACATTCAGCAGTGGTTTCTATGGACACGGTGTTACAGACCTTTTATTTGTTTGGGGAAAAAAAAATAGACTCTGAAGAAAAACAGGTGACAATGAGACACCAAAAACTGAGCTGAAAGAGGCATGACTTCATGTRCAACTGGAATTGTAACCTCTACCCAAAAACCCCGCTGGCATTTTGGGTCAGGACTGACATAGGACAACCRCAGGGATGGCTCGAGCATCCTGGCCTGGCTGGCTGACACTGATTTTCTGATGCTAACCCATGGCACACACTGTTCCTGAGACCGGGGTCCACCACACAGGTTGGTTTTTCCTGAGGTGCTCTCTCCCTACAAAACCCCCTCTTCACTGGCTCCACAGCTTCAGTTCACAAGAGGAAAAGGCACAGAGAAACTCTGGACACACATGGTCACAAATGCCCCAAAGCCCAACAGAGTCCTCTGCTGCAGGCTGGCCCGTCACTCTGACATGACAAAACCCTGCGCTTCTCACTGAGGCCCAAGCCCTTCACGCACCACCAGGTAATGTCTGCTCACAAAGCAAGTTGAAGTCATTTTTTTCTGACTCAAATATAACTAACGCTTGTCCAGCTGAGCGTTTCTAAAGTGACTAAAATAAGAAGCATCTAGTGGCAACCATAAAGCTGTGCGACTTTTAAAAAATATTTTCCAAAGTGTTTTCACAGCAAAGATGCAACTCAATTGCTATATATACGCTGGTCATAAGCTGTCGCTTGTTTGTTCAGACTTCTTTCCCTTGTGTTATAATATTGGTATTTAATAGGAAAATAAACTACATAGACTTTATCTGTATGCATCCGTTTGCAAATTTCCTTACAAAAGAGGACCAAGCACATAGGCATTCACAAATTCTATGCCATTTCTGTTAAAATTGGTATCATCTATACATTATAGTACAGTATTAACAATTTTTGTTCTACCCATTGGGTAGGATATGTGCATAATATATTCAACTTATATACAGCACCTTACAAATAAAAACRTAAGAGAAGACAGACAACTGAAGAAGCACCATTTTGAGTGAGGCACAACAAAGGTCAGGGCGTGGAGCGCAGGAGCAGGGCTGGGTTGCTGCATCTGCTGAAGCCAGACGGGAGGCACCTAGAGACATGCAGAGCTGGAGATGACAGGGTGTCACACGTGCACACTACTCTGCCCAGCTCAAATGCTTGGCGCAAAGGCCAGGGGAAGAAGGCGCTGCATTCTCAGCAAGATGTCCCCACGCCGGACCAAGCCTCTGCCGTGCACAACTCAGGATCAGGGGCAGCAGCAAGTGTCTAACTCTGGCACTGACATCAACCTGCACTAAGCAAGAGCTTTAGGCATTAAATGACATCTTGAATCCTAACACCTGTGTGCTGCCGAAGGCTAGGAGGGCACATCTCTGGTCTCGGGGCAGCTGACAGCCTCTAACCTGCCACTGAGAACTCACTTGTGACCTGGGTGCAGTCAGAGTTCCTTTTTTTCTTTTTCTAATACAGACTGCTTCACAGATGGGCATGTTGTCCTTGCTCAGGGGCCATGCCAATTTTCAGCATTCCAACTTAAGTGTGTGTGCCTCCAAAGCAAGTACCAGGCAGTTTCATGATTGGTGAGTGTGTGGGCCACTGTTAACTACTGTTCTCAAGCTGAGAAAAGGATGCTGCCCTCCTTGCCACTTTGTCTCCCAGCAGTGTCCTTTTCCCTAAGCAGGCTGAAGGCATGGCCTTCTACTGCAGTGTGAATAGGAGGATCAGGGGGCTGTGCTCATRAGACTTGGACTTGGCTCCAAGCACWGGCTTCAGTCACTTAGACAAGAAAAGCAAAAAGATAGCAGAAAGCAAGTATTCTCACATCCCTTCCCTCACACTGCAGAGGTTTGGGGATTTTATGAAAGTGTGATAGTGTGCAAGAGAGTTACACTCAGCAAGCACCAGCACAGTACACTTGGTGGCCATGATTCCCCAGTAGTATCAGCAGAGGTGACAGGAGACTGTGGGTGACTACTGCCATGTGGGGCTGCCCTCTGTATCTATCAACAAGTACATACAAGTTCAAAGCCAGCCTCAGCAACTTACCAAGGCCCTAAGCACACAGCAAGACCTTGTCTCTAAATTTTTAAAAATGGGCTGGTGATGTGGCTTAGTGGTAAATCACCCTTAGGTTCAATCTCCAGTACAGAAAAAAAAAAAAAAAAAAAAGTATGTGGACTGAGTGTATTTTTTTAAGTCCTCTACCCAGGAGCCTCTCTGAAAGAACTGTTGGATGGACCATGGAGGGTCTACTGGCTCTGAGGGGAAGGCAGGGGTCAGAGTGGAATCCTCTAGATCAGGGCTTTCTGAAGGTCCKTCCTTTTGAACCCCTCTCATTCTTAGAAAGATAAATGTGAAGATCAAGTTCAGGAAACAGTTATCTGGGGACCCAGTGCCATTGCTGCTCTGAGACCTCCCAGGTTATGGTGGGCTCRCATTTGCTCACTCAAGTTTGAGCTTCAGTAGTAAGCAGTGTATCCTCATGGTACATCTGTTCTCGGCTACCTTGAGATTTTTCCTGGGCTGGTGTGTTATGATGGGCAGGGGTCTGTGGAAGGACAGAGCGCATGCTTGTCAAACTGCTTTATCAATCAATTATGAACATGAAAAATAGATCAACTAGTTAACTCATTAATTTTCCTCATTGGTGGGGATGAAAGCCAGGCCTTGCCCATGCTAGGCCAGCCCTCTGTCCCGAGCCATGCCATGCCCCCAGCTAATGGTGGAGCTAATGGGTAAATTCACTGGTTTTTCTAGAATTGCAGGCGAAATTTGGAATGATGAAGTCATGAGCTGATCTTCTCACCTGTGTCTCAGGGGACACCTAACTGATAATCCAGCCATCAACTTTTTAAATATSTGATTTGTTTCACAATCTCTTGCTTAAAGATTGCTTGGTATTTGGAAAATGCTATTGTTTCTGAACAAGCAGAGGTAAGCCAGAAGACAGTTCCTACAGGTGGGGTTCAGCAGGGCTTAGGTTTAGAACTCCCGGAAATCCCAATGACAAGGGACAAAAGTCTCAGTGGTATCCTAGGAGTTTCGCCCTCTAACTGTTGCAGTGTTCTGTGGGAATAATCCATGATTATAGACCTTTCAGACCCTGAATCGCTGGTTTCACCAGCACATGGGCTTGGCTTGCATCACCACAAACACTGCTCGTTCAACACCTCATGAGCTGGGAGGCCACAACCTTCAGAAGAGCTGCTGATCTAAATCTCCTCCCTGTGTCAAGGGAAATTGACTATTAATCCAATTTATGACCTTGGCTTTTAAACTAATTCATTACTGAGGCCCAGCCTCAAAGACCTTTCAAAGTCAAGCTTTACTATGTTTGTGTCTTTGCAACAACTGATTAACTTACAAGGCAATTCTCTAGGGTACCTGAAGGGTGGGGGGCTCCTTTTGAAGGATGATTAAAGCTACTTGAATTAAATGATTGTTTTGCCAATACTATCGACATCTAAAGAATGTCCTTACACTTGCGAGGCTACTAAAGAATTTACAAGTCTCAGGCCTTAGCCCTTTCCTGTAGCAGGTAGCAAAGTAAGACTCATGAAGCCATCTGAGGTGGAGCTAATAGGTGGATTTACTGGCTTTTCTAGAACTGCAGGCAAGATTTGGAATGATGAAGCCGTGAGCTGATCTCACCTGTGTCTCAGGGGACACCTGACTGATCATCCAGCCATACCAAGTCCCCACCAGTGAGATCCCATTCTGGATGAGTRTCTCCTCACCTTTGTGTCATGGACCCAGTTTCTCTCAAACATAGGTGTGACACCCAGGGAGTGAGGGACCTTTCAGGAAGCCTCCAGAGTCATGAAAAGGGCCATCTCTGACCCCAAGACAACCCCTGCCCTGAGGGCTGRTTTCTCCCTGCTTGATAGAGGCCTTCAGAAAGAAGGTCTTTGGAATGAGACTGAAGCCAACCTCAGAATTTCCACTGCAACCCTCAAACGCAGTCCTCCCAGGCAGGGTCCTGGGTATGAGCTGACAACTGCTGGCCATCTGTCTCTCTCCTAGTTCTATGGATGTTACTATGTGAAATGTATCCATCTAAGGGAAGGTCCAAACCTCAAAACAAATGCAGCAACTTACCTACTGAAGAAGCAGCAGAAGCAAGCAGCAGATTGGAATCAGACAGGACAAGGGCTTGCAAACAGTCTCCAGCTCCCAGCAAGCTACACAGAGACGTGTCTGAGGAATTGCCTCCAAGAACACAGTGACAGACAGACACACACACACACACACACACACACACACACAACTTGACATTCAAGCCGCATAGCTGGTAGTCACAGGTCACCATTCCATTGGTCTTGTTATGTGCAGAGGCCAGAGAGGCCCAGTGGAAAGCAGCCTGGCCACTGCAGATAAGTCCTTCGCCTGGTGCATAACATGTTAACCTGACCAGCTGCTGCTGTGACAAAGCAAGTGCTTACAACTGCAGAAGAAAGTTTTTTTGTTTTGTTTTTTATCTGTGAGAATGAATGTTTGCAAATGTTAGGAATATTAAAACTAAGACAATATATAGAATCAGTTTTCTGGTTGCATCTTAACTGCGGGTTGTGCTTTTTGTCCTGTGCTATTACAGTCACACCCCCACCTGCCCCTGTCCTCTAACTGACCCCCTGGTCCTTGCCATCAACAGGGAGGCTGCTGGGGGCAGGGGAGGTGGAATCCCTGTGGGAGTTTAGGCAGGTCTGCAGGCTGAGTTCCATGTGACACTTGTGAAATGCAATGGCTTGTTACCATGACTGGTAGACAAGGTGCCCTTCCATCAGTTCCAAGGACCTCTGCCAGCATGGCTCACACAGCAAGTGCTGGGCAAGCTGTATGCAGGTGGCCGCTGGGAGCCTCTGGGTGAACTGACCGGCCTTGCAGAACTGAACTGAGCTACCTGGGAAAGGGGAGAGGCAACGGGACACACTGAGAGTCACATATTTCAGCAGTATGCAAAATAACCACCTTGCATTTTAAACAATTTATTGCAAAAAAAATATGTATCTGAATATATTTCATGCTACAGTGGAAAAAAATCTAAATTACTGGAGGAACTACACTGCTGGCGGGCAAGGGCGGCACTGCACGATACTGGATACATAAATGCATTTGTTCATTTTTAATAAAGTATGCAGCCTAAAACTAGCAGAGTAATTCAAATAAGCCAGAAATGCCGGAACTTAGTATTTCCTATCTTCCATCCCAGCGTCTCCTGGTGCCTCAGTGATGCACCAGGTAGGATGCAAACTCCTGCAGCAAGCAGCACTGGGCTGATTTACAGAATTTGGTAAATATTAGGCTACATCCCCAAATACGCTTTCTTGTGTGATTCTGGGATCACTCTAGGCTRTTCTTCAGGCCTAATAACCACCCACAGGGAAAAGACAAGCAACATACAGAAGTTCACGCAAAACAGTTCCCTCATATATATTTTAAACATCAATAGTGCAACTTTGGAAACACACCATCTCAACAAAGAATAGCTCCTTGCATTCATCTAACTTCTCCACTTTATACCTTGGCACACAAAACAGGAATTTTGCTTCATATTTTTAGAACAAAATAAAAGTTCCACACCTTGGGAGAAAAAGCCACAGGGCTGATTCTTCCCCATGATAATATATCATAACGCTTCCTTCTTTATTCAGTTAGTTACAAAACAGGCCATTCTGGCCTCATTTAATCTATGAAGTCTCCTTTCGGAATTAAATAAATCAAATACCTCTGTGGTTCTTATTTCATGATATCTTCAAAGCATCCCTTCTCTGTTTCCCTGCCCACCCTTTGCCAAAATCTTCCCCCATCCCCACCCTGCCCCCAAATCAACACCGTTGGCGGTCAGACCGGATGGAAGTCCGCATCGTCTCAGTCTCCTTCGCATGCAACTCCCCTGAAAGGAATCAGAAACAAAGACCRTGTTTGCACATTTGGTTTTACTTAGTTGTACCACGTGAAACCGGACAACACCGTGCGCCGGAGGGTGGCGCAGCCTCTTCCCCTCCTCGGTTCCTCTCCTCGATTCAAGTGCGCGTGGAGGGGTCAGACCAGGTTCCCGGGCTTCCTGTCTTTGCCCTTGATGGGGACTATTGTGCTCTCTGAATTGTTCTGCTGAAACTGCAGTCTGCTGCCGCCGTGTGTGTTGCTGTGCTGGTGATGGAAGAAGGAGGCGCCTGGGTAGTGGCCCATCACCTCGCTGTAGGTGGGGGGCGGCCCCTCCATCCTCCCGTTACTGCTGCAGGTGGTCGCGCTGATGCCCGAGTTGCTGCTGGGAGGGCAGGGGCCCCCGTTGTACACGGAAATGTCTATCAAATCACTGTCAAATATGGTTCGGTTGGGCGGGGCCCTCACAGACTCTCGGTTGAGTTCCATCTGCTGTTCGGGGTCCCGGAGCTGCAGGGTGCAGGGCCCCTGGTAAGGAGGCGGCTCTTCCCCGTCCGACAGGGAGATGGTAGGAGGGAGGTCAATCTCGTGCTGCACATAGGGGTAGGTGGGCTGGAAGCGACTGAACCGATCCCTCTGGATAAAGGACGGGGCAGTAAACCTGTCCCTGGCCCGAGGGGCGTACATGATCTGGAAGGAAAAAAGGAGAGGCCTGAAGATGCTCTCAGCACAGAGATCAGGGTGGAATGTTCTCACCCCTTGGCCATCCTCTCCCCCACCCTTGCAGGCAAGACAGGAGAAGACTTCCAGGAACCAAAAATAGCTGTCCTRTCCCTAATGACTTAGACCACTCTCTATGCCAAGCTACACTGTATTCCAGACAGTTGTGCAATGGAGAGCCGCAGCCGGCTGGGAATCTGGGTGAACAGTTAATTGTGCAGGTTGGGGCTACAGTTTCAAGGGTTCAAATGGGACCCAGCAGTAACCCCAAGAGGGCRCTGAACAGGAAAGGAGCAAAGAGCGCCCTGCAGTTGGCTCAGGACCTTCTCCAGGCATTGGTGGCTTTGAGCTACGAGACAGGACAGGCCACCAGCTTTCTCAGGTCCCTGCCAGCCCCTGCCAGTCAGTTGAATGGTCTTAATATTTTCTGTAAAAACTGGGAAAGTGACCTTTTTTCTTTCAATTTCTAGACTTTCCCAGTTATTTGGATTCTGGATATGTTTCCTATATGGCTTTTAGCCACTAATATGAAAAGTGTTTTATATTCAAAGTAAATATGATTATAGTTTTTCCAAAAAAAATAAATCCAGGTAGTGTACATCTTACAAAATCCTCTTGTTTATTCCACCATCAAAATTTCTTCGAGGAGACAGATCTTCCAGGCACAAGTGTGTGTATGTCTATATGTATACTCCTATATTAATACATACATATATATGTATAGACACAAATATAGTCACTGGTTTCTCTCACACCATTATTTTTAACTTAAAAGGAAAAAAATCATGTTTTAAAATTAAACTTGATGATGGGGGACTACATCATTATTTGACATGTACAAACTGCCAAGACCTGCCAAGCCACATCACTGGRCTTTCAGGATCATGCAAAGATAAGGGATTCCTGCACTTTGCAAGTTAGACCAGCATAAATAACRCCCTAGAAGATTCCAGGGGAAATCTCCTCTCCTTCTTAACCAAAGTTATAGGCCATGTCTTAACCCGGACTGTGGCTGTGTCTCTCCCTCCACCCCTTCTGCCACCCCTTACCTCAGAGGCCCCTGGCCGTGGCACCGAGCTGCCTGAAGGCCACAGGCACCCTTCCTGGAGGTGGGAGGGGAGAGAAGCAAGGAACAAGAAACAGAAGAGAACCATTAGTCTCACCCCAGTGGCAGCAGCACCCAACAACCTGAAACACAACTTACTGAAAGGGGGTGCCCTGGCCCCTTGGACGGTGGTCAACCTGTCTAGAACTGGAATAAGAAAGAATTGGTCCTTCGTACCCCTCACACCCAAATGGAGGGCTGGGACWATAGGAAGAGTTACCTAACGTATTAGTTCCTGGCCACAGTGGACGTGGAGCAGATTTGAAGTCTATTACTGAATCTCTACACTCATGTGCTTCAGAATGACCATGAACCCTGTTCAGCCGCTGCCTGGAATTGGGGAGTGTGGGTTAACTACGCAGGCGGAGGCTGCCCCAGCCCGTATGCCCACATGCTGGGGCACTCAGCACAAAACCCGTTCCCAAAGCCTGAGTGCTCCTCGAATGTCCCCGGTGATTTTATTTCCYACAGGTATATTCACAGGTATAAATGAACATCTAGTTGTTTCATGTATTTCCTTCAAAAGTGTTTGGTGAGGCTGACGAGCAGCAAGCGAGAGTCACTTCGAACACCATGAACATTCTCTCACAGAGTCCTTGGGCCCAGGTTTTGGGTACTTGGAGGGCCAGCCGGGCTCTCAGCTACAGCCCTAAGCTGCCTGTTACTGCTACAGAAGCCTGTAKTTTTGGATTCCCAGGAATATGTATATTTGACCTTTAGAGATCACTCAGTCTCCCCAGAGCCCAAAAATGTCCCTAAGTAAAGACCTCCACAGTCAAACGCCCCAGCCCCTCAGACGCAAGGCCACGCTGTTCTTTTCTGTGGCCAGCGTCCGTTCTAGTATAAATACCTCCTCCTTGCTAAACAGGGTGTTTGTCCAACACACACAACCGTTCCTAAGATACTCCAGGCCATTCGGAATCAGCAGCAAAAATACAAACCAACCCAGCTGTGTTTAGAGGAAGCGTGGGCTTAAGGGTCTGACTATAGAGTTACGTAATGGACCATGACAGCTCTGGCGTGGTGACAGGTGAGGGACCAAACTTGAATCAAGTGGCGACCTTGCAGTGAAGTGGCCGGCGCCAGCCCTCAGCTCCTGCTCCCCCACCCCACCCCTGTCAAAGACGGCACTGGATTCCAGATGGCGGTGGTGACTCTGGTGCTGAAAACAGCTCGCAGAGTCCTCCTGAAGTGTCTGGGGCTCCCACTGCCAACCTGCCTATCGGCCACTGTCACTGCTCCTCCCAGAGCTCTTCTTTTCCAGGGACCTCAGTGTTGTACTCTAACRGACCAGTCAATAGCACACAGGGCAGAGTGAAGCCTGGTGCCCTCTGATGGCCAGAAACAAGGCCACCAGGAGTCCCCAAAATCGAGGCTTCTGTTGTCTCAAAATGACAGTCCTCATCTCCAGTGGCTTCATCGCCCTAGACATTGGCAGAACCAGCAAAGGCCCACAAGGGCTCCAGGTCACCAGGGCGCTGGCTTGYGCTGAGCCCCCTGGCACGAGCTCCCTCCCCCGTCCCACTGTTCCAGAGCAAGCTCCCTGGTCGCCTCACCTGCACTCTGCTGCCACTGCGGAGCCTGGGGGCCCTGTCGAGGCCTCCCTCTCACTAGCATTGCCCCGGCCCTCCCCATAGCCACCAGGCCTGGGGCTCCCAAGTCTCCTGTCTGCGGAGTTCGCTGACTCCTCCCCAAGCCCTTGCTCTGCCGTGTGGCCAGCCCTCAGCCCGGAAGCCAGTCCTGTGTTCACCTCCAGAGAGCTCTCCTTCTCTGCCCCCAGCCAGGGCCCCATGGCCACAGGGATCCCAGGGCTGCCTCCTTTGTCCCTCCAGGGGGAGGCCCAGMCTGCTTCTCTTCCTGTCTCTGCAGCTGCCACAGTTTCCCTGTCAGTGACGACCTTCCTTCTCTTTAGGAAACTCACAGTCCCCAGAACTGGCAGCTGTTGTGTCTTGTCATGCTTGCTTCATCTTTTCCTCTAAATGTGAACTTAAAAAAATTACACAGACATGTGCATGTTTTTCCTTACAACGGCCATCATAGGTGAGCCAATCCACAGGGACTCGTCCTGCCCTGGGGTCTTCTGGAAGAAGCTCTGGGAGCAACTTTTAAAAAGCAGGAGCCCTGTGCTTGATGCATGGTAATGTGCAATGAATTTAAATTGCTACACAAGCAACCAATTCCTTCTTAAACTTGGYGAAAGCCTGCTCTCTCCCGGGAGAGCCTCAGCAGAATATTTGGTGTGTGAGCCCGTCCCACCGTGGGCCCCTCTTCCCACACTGCACTCAGGGCCTGGCTCTGCGGCTCGCAGGAGAGGCTCTGGCCAGCTATGGGGAAACCACCAGAGCCCTCACTTGTCACCTGGTCCCTCAGAGTTCCTGAGACTAGAAGAGGGGTGCAAGGGGCCGGCGTGGCTGTGGCCTGCCATCTCCCAGCCATGTCTCATGATGTACCTCCCCACGACTGCTTTGACCAGGCCACCATGGCCAGGTAGGGAGAGGGCCAGGGCACACACGTGTCCCACACATGCCAGTATCAGTGTCCCGTCTGCTCCTGTTGCTCAAAGCAAGYGCACAGCTCTTCCCTACTTGCTAGCTTGGGAGAAAACAAGTGTCCTGCCCTGAGGTCCCTAAAGCCAGASAGCAGATCCTGGAGCAGGAGGAGGGGGACCAACGGGGAAGAGGCATTCAGTCCCCTCTTCTCCGGAATGTCACTGCACGTCTGCAGGCAGGGGTGACCTGGTGGGCGGAACTCCTCCTGCCTAGCTCTTGTTTTTTCAGGAATAATACAAAAGTGACATTAAATCTCCATGGGAGGAAGTGCCTCCATCATCCCATCCCCCTAAYACTTAAGCAATTTTCTGATTTCGAACACTTTCCCAGCTGGAAGCTGAGCAGGAGCATCTTCGGCTCCGGCCATGTCTTCCTCTGCAGCAGGCCCAGGCGCCACCCTCCACCAGCGCTGTCCCCARCAAGATCGAAAAAAACGACGGCATCGCTTCTATTTTAGCAACTACATAACTTAGAATTTACTTAACTGCTTGCTGACAACGGCCCTCTGCCTGTTCACTTGCTCTTGCAGAACTCCTTCCCAGCCCTTTCACCCTGCGGCACAGACACCTGCCGTGGGGACCACAATGGGCCGACAGTCAGAGAAGCTGTCACTCCACTCCTGGGCCCAATGCCACTGGGCACAGAACCCAGACCTGAAAGCGACCAGAGCTGGATCCCCCCCACCCTGATAGTCACCTGGTGCTCACTCCAGTCTCTGGTCACTCCCTCACAGTGGTCACATGCTCCATGGGCAAAGTCACCCTAGGGTGGTTGGTGGAGCTGCAGGTTGTGCTCACCCTTTGTGKGGGGAGAACCTCCCTCTGAATGGTCAAGGAGTGACCTGGCGCTGTGCCCCGTGTCCCGAGGGCCTCTCACCAGTTGAGAAACCGAGGATTGCTGGATGCGACCATGTGGTCCCCTTGTCCAGTCACCTTGGTTTCTTCACCTCCAAATGCCAGGGAGAAGGGCTTCCCCCGACAGCTGGCACCTGCTGGAATGGCCGCACTCCTTGGCACTCCTCGGGGAGCCAGCAGGGATCTGAAGGAGGAAGGTGGGCGCTCTGGCTGGGCTGCGAGGCTCCCCTCCCGTCGCTGCCCCACAGTAGCTTGAGGAGTTCACAGAATGCGACAAGAACGGAATGTCACCACGCATCTTACAGAGGTTTCAATGCCTCCCCTCTTTTGCAGGATCATTCCTCACAGGACACCCACCAAGGAAGGGAAGTAGGACACTCTGTTCCAGTGCTACTTCCTTACACCACTTCTAGGGAAGTCCTTGCCGAGGACCTGGATCCCTCACAAGGCGGCACCTGAGAC